TTATGGTTAGTCTTAACCTATTAAAAAATGTGGGGTCTCACTTTGATCATACAGTTTGCACTGCTGTTTCATACAGTGTCATCTCAAGTTGAATTTACCATGGTTAGAGAAGGGTCCTGAGGGCACCACCCAGCCTCGACTGTTTCTGTCCATCTGCCCACAGTCCAGGACCCCATGTCAGCCCCATGGGGTCAGCAGCCCCTGTCCCAGAAACATCACAACAGGACCAGTCTCCAGCTCCCAATAGCCCTGCCCAGCCATCACCATTCCCAGGAGGTGCCCAATACCCAGGGCTGGGACTGGCTCAGTCACCTAGAGGTGCCCTGCTCCTGTCCGGGGCAGTGGACAGGCCATGGGACAGGCCCTGCCATCACCCACCTGGGCAGACACTCCCCCACACTGTGTCAGTTTATAGTCTTACTGCAAAAGCACGTGAAACATGTCCTTAAATTCTTCCTGCATGAGTTGTCAGCTAAGTAATTCCTGAGTGTGTAGAATGGGTCCAGCTTAATTTTTAAAGCCCTGATAAAATTTTTCTGGAATATTACTTTAAAATAAAGCAGTGCTGTCTAGTCAAAATGAACACACATACTATTGATGTATGCACTCCAGAAATAAATTTTAAAAAAAATTTGTGTACAAATACTTTTGAGCATAGATACCACTTGCCTTTTCCTTGTTGTCGTGCTGAAGACACCCCATTGCCACCACCTTTGGAGATTTTGGAGGTTGCTGCCAGAGAAACTGCAGGGAACAAGGCTACTCCAGATTGTGGTTATTTGAAAAAAAAAAAAGAAAAAAAAAGAAAAAAAAAAACACCCATGAAACAAAAAAAAACAACCAGCTCTCATTTTAAAGTAATTAAGTATATGACAACAAGCAGAATGTCCATCACAAGCAGCTAATGCTACAGCCCTGTGTGCTCTTAAAACACCTCTTCCTTCAGGAGGAATGAAACTTTCCCCACGTCCAGGCAGATGTATTTGAATGGTTTGGGCCAGAATATTTGGGAGGGGCAGAAGAAAGACAAAGGCTGTAGAGTTTTTATCTGACTGTAAGTCATTAAAAGCAAGCCAGATGGTTCACTTAACAGTGGTATTAAACTGAGTAAAAGTATGCCTAGGGCATAGTAAAATCTTGAATTCATCCTCAGACTTCGCCAGTGATTGATGGATAATGTCACAGGAGTGTTCAGATTAGATTCTGAATGAATCAATTTACTATAATATTAATACAGTGCAATTGGTGATGCATTTACTTTTTATTGAATAGACTTAGTTCTTCACAATTTTGCTTACCTTTGGGGTATTGCTCAGTTCAGCCATTGGCTGAAATGAATGATATCGAGTAACACTGAATTCCTGTAGAAGTAAAAAAATCTGTCTTAATGTGGAGTCCTGAAATCTTTGGCTGAAGTAACTTTGTCTTGAGGAATGGTAATATGATACAGCCCATATGACATGAGCTCTGTGTCCCAAACATTTTATTCTATCCCATGATTGTCTGCCATGGCCCTTTTATTTGACTAATGTTATGCAGAGGATAATGGACCTTCTTCTGCAACACGGGTTACAACACAGAGTGAAGCTATAATATCATGTATTGGCTAGCATCAGCCCTGCTAAAAGCATCTGCAGTATAATTTATGAGCATACCTCGTCGCTTTCTCTGCAACGAGTTGTCTGAGTAGTGAAAAATAACTTCAACTTAAAGGAAAATGGGGTTGTTATTACCATTCATTTCATCCTCGTAACCTCACAGTGGTGTTTTTTATATACAAAACCCCTGTATTTTTAAGCACATCTTGCCTCCAGGCCTTCCTTCTGGCCTCAACTTGCACCATTATTTTTTTCCTTTAGTTTTATTCCCAATTTATTTCTTTTTAACCTGGTTACAGTAGCAATTTCCTTCTTCATATAGGTTGCACAAACAAAACATTGCTTCCAAAATAAACTGACACTTAAGAAAAAATAAAACAGAAGATTGTCTTTGCCTGGATAAAACTTTTCTACCAAGCAAACAGTCAAGGATAAATAATGTAATCTAAAATAATAAATATTTTTTTATATATTTTCCTCATAAGTGAATGCTGCAAATTTATAAGAAACTTTTCTAGAGATCTGTTTGGCTTTTTTCTAATATATAAAAACTTCTTTCTGAATAAAAGGGAACAAAATCCAAACTATTTTGCCCCAGCAATTAAGCAGTTGAAGCTGATCATGGTGTGATATAAGTCTATCCCCTTAGGGTGACAACTATCCTATCCTTTCTTGTCCTTCAAATAGATTTTAGTCATACATTTTTAGACCCTTTGTGAACCAGGTTCACAAGGCCACACATGTGACACGCTGTTAGTTTGTTGTTGTTTTGAAGAACAGGCATTCAGCCAGCCTTAGCTCTATGTACTATACATGGGTATGTAGGACATGACCTCACCCAGGTCTCACTCTCACAGCAGCCTGCCTACTAACTGAGCAGTTAGTTTGTTCTGTCATGTTTTAGGAAGGTTGTAAAACTAAAGATATAGAAGTTGGAAAGGATCTTGTCAGAGGGAATGTTTATTTTCAAAAGTTAGTGGTTTAGCTGGGGGTCTAGAGATTGAACCTTAGATGAAGATCAGATCCTCATTCTCAATATTCATGACACCGAGAAATGTCTTGATGTCCAGAGTCATAATGGGTCTTACACAGGTGAATTAATTGTGGAGGAGGAGTGGAAATTTCATAAACAATTGATGTGAAAAAATCCTACAATTTTCTATTTTTAGCTCTTCAGGTGGTCTTAGGCTAGGTAAAGAATATTATGGAGGACTATTCCAGTGGTTCCAACACCTTTTCTATGTTGACCTTTTTTTGCTACTTTGTTCACTGAAACTAAGTTTAATTAAAATGATTATAAAAATGAGCTTGGGAGTTCAGCCTGTACCAAGTCTCAAAACAGCACTCTTCCATGATTCATATGAATTAATGATAGTCTGTTACTGAGGGCTGTTTTTTTTCTCAGTATGATACAAAGTTAAAGAGGCTTTCAAGGCAAACAAAAGTTGATTTTTTGATTTGAAACAATTATAAAAATTCACAGTTTTAAAGACAAAATTATTTTCATGCCTTTCTGTTGCAGGTTGCCTTTGAGAAAAATTCTAATCAAATAATCTATTGAAATTTTCTCCTGCAGTAGACTTCTAGTCTAAAACTTCTTAAGCTGATAGATGTTTTTTAGAGTCTGAGGTTATGTCTAGTAAATAACTCGTCTAGGCCTCATGGCCAAGGGAATTGGCAACTGAATAGGACTCAGGAGACCTAAACTCTATTCCAAGTTTCAAGACTAGCCTTCTGGGAAACTTTGCTTTGTTACCTAAAAAGCAGAGCAAATGGTATTGACTGATTTTGTGAAGGGTTGTTAAATCTGCTTATGAAAAAGGCTGCATAAAAGCTGATTAATGGTATTCTTATTATCAAGAAAAAAGTCTTCGTGCAAAATTACACAGAATGCCCATTTTCTCCCTGAAGGAAATTACCAAGAGTGCTTCAGCATGTCTGCTAATGATTAACCACGCTGCAGTTATGATATTTTGTATTATTGGACAGTTTTGGTATGTGTGGTGACAGAGAGTTTTGCCGTTAAAGGCAGACTTGTTGCATGAAGTGAGATTTCTCTAGGGATCATAGGCATATGTACACAGAATGGAGCACAGTGCCCTCAAGGGGGTTGGCAGTAAGTTTCTGATCTGGGCAGAAAGTTGTAGGAAACCCAAAACATTGACCACAAGGTAATGCTGGAGGCTGCCCTTCCAGCATGGTAGGGGCATAACCAGGCATCGGTGAAGTCTATGCCAACATTCTTTCAATCTACAAATTTTTCTCTCTACAAAGCATGCTATCCAGAAATGCTAAGTACTTCGCCACACAGTTAACTAGGGTTTTTTTTCCAACTTTTATTCAGGAAAAGAGAAGCAAAGATATGGTTGAGAAGGTCCGGCTCTTCTAACTCGTAAAAATGCCTTCACTATGAGAGAAACAATTTCCAGGAATCTTGCTACCCAACAGATTTTTTCCCCATTGATTTTATCCCCTATGCTCTGACTTTAGAAACAATTTTAATGTTTCATTTTTTAAATTTTTATTTTCTCTAATGTAGCTAGCCTTGATTTTAAGAGCAGGGGAATAAATAAGCCTTTATCAAAGAAACACCCATGAGGGTATGATTTAGTCAGTTACACCTTTTGTGTATGCTGAACAGCATTTCAAGAGATGTGGAAATCTTCTGGGAAAAGAAGATGATGGTTTGGGCAGTTCATGCTTTGTATGCTAATTACCATTATTCTCTTCTTTCTCTTTCCCCCATTAAGTTTCAGCTTGGTCCATGTCCCTTTGAATAAAGCTACTGATCTCTTCCCTTCCAGTGCTGTAATGCTCTAGTATGCCTGCCTGCCTGCCTGCCTCTGCCCTTAGTTTGCCAGATCTGTGAATGCATGTATTTATCTGCTGTTTGTGTAGGCATTTAGTATGTTATTTTACTGTGTATTGTGTGGTAAATTATTTAATGTCCATGGTGTGTAAGAGCCAAGCATCTAAAATTTAAACTGAAGAAGTGGCTTGACTGGCCACTTTCTAATTTTTTCTTACTCCAATTCCTGAATCCATTTGGTTTCCACTGTAGGATCTCATTGCTCTATAAATTTCTAGGATTTCACCTAGGCTACTAGCATTCAGAGTTAATTGATGTATGTTTAGATTGGGAAAGTGGTCTGCAGCTTCATGGTACACCTAGGGCAATTTCTTATAATATTGCAGACCGTTTCAATTCTGACATCAAGACACAACTCTGTCTTTTCACTGCTTCTACTGTGGTATCAACTCTTTTCCCAAAAGCAGTGTACAGACTTTTGGCCGAGTATTAATAATAGTAAAGCATATATCATGATATCAGTTACAGTATCTGGAATTGTGTCCAAATTATTTATTTTACTTTCTTTTTATTTATTCCCATTTCACCACCAGCTGCATTCAGACCAGGATAAAGGAGATGGATCACTTAAATACATCCTTTCTGGAGATGGAGCAGGAGACCTCTTCATTATCAACGAAAACACTGGTGACATCCAGGCTACAAAGAGACTAGACAGGGAAGAAAAGCCTGTATACATACTCCGTGCCCAGGCTGTAAACAGAAGGACTGGAAGACCAGTGGAACCAGAATCTGAGTTCATCATTAAGATCCATGATATCAATGACAATGAGCCAATGTTTACAAAGGACGTTTACAATGCCAGCATTCCTGAAATGTCAGATGTTGGTAGGTGCTAACTAATAACTGATTTCAGTGTCTGATCTGGGTTCTTTCTGTGGAGTTAATGAAGGGCCCAGAGTTTACAGGCACTGAATACAGACATCTGCTGTTTGAGTCTGGAGTTAAAAGCACCTTAGACATTTTTAAAAAAATCTAGTGCCAGGAAGATAGTGACACCAGTTTGCTGGTATCAGAGGTGTCAGCTGAGTGAAACATGCTACCTCTGTTGCTCCACAAAAAAATGCAAGTTAATACCATCTACTTTAGCTTCAGTTAAAGCGAGCTGTGTTAACATGACACCCTTATAGTTTAATAAGCTTTGTTAACATGTAATAATATGGTAATCCGTGGTCACCTGTGTCAATACCACTCCTGGATTTGTTCAGCAATCCTTCTTTAGTTCAGGAAAGTAAACAAAATGGAAAAGAGCAGGTACAGAAGGTGTTGTACACATTTCAGGAGTGAAAACTGTAACTCAGGTCAACTCATCACTGATTCTGAGATATGCCATTAATTTCCTATGACCTTTGTTGCTCTTTTCATGCAAAAGAAAAGAGCTCCAGACTCCATCAGAGTCCACTGAAATCTTTCTATTAATTTAAAATGTACTGAGCTGTAGGAATCAATCAAGAAAATAACTTCCTTGAAATATGATTTTAAGATGGGATCTTTTTCTGAGAAGTTGACAGGTTTTGATTCTTTGTCTCTGATTCTTTGTCAAGGAGCAGTGGATAGTCGAATTGCAAGAAGTACATTTCTAATCTGGAATAATGTCCAGGGAGAGAAGTATTAATTACTCATGATCAAGGATGAGATTAAAATAAAGCTCAGGCAATATGAAAATAAAGACTTTGGGGCATACTCTCTCCTCTCATTCATGGGACTTGTCACATGGATGAAACCACATCTGATGAAGCAAGAACCTAGTATTCACATTTTAAATTGGGAAGTGAATACTTTATTCACAAATAGTTTTAAATGCCAAAATCGAAGCTAAATGTTTATGTTTCTTAACACTTTACCTGGGATTCAACACCATTTCTTTCTCTCGAAGGCACATGAAAAGAGAGATTTACATTCCTGTATAAAATACCTTACAAGTGTGAGTAAATTTGCAAAAGTATATTCTTGACCTAGATTCAAATTCTGAATGCTTTAAGTATCTGGAGAAAGATGCATTTCTGCTTGCTTCATAAGAAACACCAGGAAGGATCTATATATGCAGTCAATAACTGTGTTTTAATGAGTTGAGAATAAGACAACTATCATTTTGGGACTATATCTATGTCCTTTATGAACAGAGAAACTTCTGTAAAATATGAATATCTCCAACTTCTTCCACAAGTCTGACTCGAACTATTTTTTTTTCTATGTCAAAAGTGTCTTAGCCATGAAAAAAAAACCCTATTAATTTTTATTTTCCTAAATTTTTCATTACAGGTACCTTTGTTGTGCAGGTCACTGCCACTGATGCTGATGATCCTACATATGGGAACAGTGCTAAAGTTGTCTACAGCATTCTCCAGGGACAACCATATTTCTCTGTCGAATCTGAGACAGGTCAGGGAACCTTATCTGTCATACTATGACAATGTCTGTAATTCAAACTGACATGCTAAGCCAAGCTAGGATATAATAGAAAAAAAAAAAAACTTCAAAGAGATTACATCTTAGTGCAAAATCTGACAAACTTAATAGAGCGATACATCTGTAAACATGACACCTACATTATTTTAATCTTACCAGCAAAGTCTAATAAATACAATTAGTACTGGATGTGAACCAGTTTTCAATCATTTTTAACAAGCAGTAGGTACAGAGGCTGCTGTGGATGTTTAAATTAAACCAAATAGCTTGGCTTTTAGATGAAAACGAGGAACAGGTGGGTGTGGAAAAAAGTGCTTATTCCTCATAGATCTTCATAATGGCTAAATTAAGACTGAGGATTTGTTCAGGTGAGTTTTTTTTGTCCTTCTGCTTCTTCAAAACTTGTTTAAAGTAATTATAATTTCTGTACATCTGCAACATATCACTTTAATGCTAATTTTATGAAAGAAATCTTAATTAAGAATAATGATAGAAGAGGTAAAATTGACTGTTGCGCTAAACTAGAGGATCACAAATAGAATCCCAAAGTTCTGAGTTCTGTTTTTGGAAGATGTTTAAATTACAGACAGTGACTGGAATTTTTAATGGTCTGAATAACAGCTTTAGAATCTGTGCATGCATTCTAGCTGGCTGGATCTGCTGTACCACTGACTCTCTGACTACATAGCTGGTCTCTTCTCAAGTCTTATAACAAAATTTTCCAGAGAGAAACGAGATCTCAAGAAACTCCTTCACCAGGAATATCCATTGTGTTAGGTAGCTGGAAGCTAGAGAAATCAACTCTCCTCGGCATGCTTATAGGAAAGGAATTAATTATCTCAGACAATTAATCGGGTTTTAGCATTGGTTCCTATCTTAAGGAAATTGTACAGACTCCGTCACGGAAAAGGAGAGAGAGATTATATACATCTCAAACTGAAACCTGAGGTGAAAAAGTGTGCACAATTCTGGAAAGAGTGAGAGCCAAGATCAAAGGGAGCTTTTCTTCAAGCATAAGGTTTTAGGTAATACAAGCCAGGATTTTGCACTGGTGCACTCATTCTGACTTGGACAGTACACTATGTGCTCTTCTAGATTTATAAGAAGAATAAGGTAGCTGGGAGTTCACCAGTAGTAATCTTTTAGCACAAGGTTTGCGTGGGGCAAGGGAAGCGAAGTAAACCACAGTCTTGATCTTGCTGCCATGAAAATCAATTGCAGAACTCCTAGAGTGAAATAAGTCTGTCAAAGTCACTGTGAGTTTTGTCATGGATTGCAGTACTTGAATTTCACTCCTTTTGCTTACAAAAGAGTCAGTTCTTACCTTAAGAGATCCAGTGAGAAAGCAAACATTTTGCTTCATGGTAAATCTGAATGATTGAATTTCAATAGGAATTGCTGTCATAACTGATACTTGTGCCTGTGAAGAAGGAAGTGACTGGCAAATCACTCTAATCAATATATAAATAAAAATATATACACAGGCATGTTTTTATGCTCATAATTTTCTTAATTAATTTCTCTTCTTCCATTTAATGTTCTTGCACTCTTTAATGGTATTGTATTACAATTAGATTTTTTTTCTTTTTTTTGTTTTTACCACATCTGTCAAAATAAAAATATTGGCAGAACTGGAAGGAAATGATGGAGCACATTACAATGAATAAAGAGTCTTTTTCCAATTTGGTGAGAGACTCTAGCATGGAACTGAAAGAGGGTAAATATTTATGTAAAATAAATGGCTCACAAATAAGTAGAACATCTTTTTGGGGATGCCACTAATACGATGTCTGTCACATAGGCAGTAGCCTAAGAGGTGACATGACAAGTCTGTAATTTAATGAACCATCTCATAACAGTGAATATTTGTACTGGGCAAAGTTTACTTATTATGAAGAGATGGTTTTGTTTTTTTAGATGTAGGGCTTTTTAATAAGAATTTCCATCAAAGTCAGTACCTTACGTGTGAATCCCTGCTCTTTAATTTTCATGTTTTCAGGCATTATTAAAACTGCTTTGCTAAACATGGACCGTGAAAATAGAGAGCAATACCAAGTGGTCATCCAGGCTAAAGACATGGGAGGCCAGATGGGCGGATTATCGGGAACCACCACCGTGAACATCACATTGACTGATGTAAACGACAATCCACCTCGCTTCCCTCAGAGTATGGAAAATTTACATTCTGTGTTGTAATATTAACATGGACAAAAATTGTTCTTGTTTTGGTTTTTGTTCACCTTAGGTATTGTTTCTTCTATTGTGGACTTACTGAGTATCAAACTTTCTCTAGGAAGGCAAAAAAGAGCACATAAGTAAGCAACAGCACCATGCTAAGATCAATTGCAATGACTGGGAAACAAATATTTAATATTTTTACTTCAGCTGCAGTTGCCAGTTTGAGAGGTGAATTATTGTGCAGAAACAACTTCTGTTTTTTCTACCTGTTAAAGAGCTGTGATCAACATAATCTGTATTTCTTGTTCACCATTATTTCTTTTAGACCTTGTGGTTGATCACATTTTATGATTTCTGTTGTAATCTAATATATTTAAGTTTTGAAACATGTTTATTTAATTATGCAAAAATATCCTAAAAGTAATTCTATGAAAAATATTCACAACCAGAAAGCATTTGCTTCAATGGATTTTCTTATATTCTTTGCATACAGAAACAAAAGCATGTACATAAATATACCAGGTATTTCTGCCTATTTTACTTCCCCTATCTTAAATACTTTGGTACTTATCTGTGTGATATTTATGGGAATCAGTTGAGCAAGCTCTTCTAGAAAGTAATTTCTGTTAATGACCATTCATGGCCGTAAGTAATTCAAAGTGATTCAGCTTACATCCACTTCTCTTTCCCTGTTTTTACTTCCTTCCTTTTTTCTCTCTCTTTCTTGTTTTGCTCTTTCTAACCACTGCTCTCTGTATGATGTGTGTGTATCACAGTGTCAGTGTGTGTCAAAGTCAAGAGCAGCTGTTACAGAAAATAATTGCAGATCCTATCAGACAAATCAGCAAGCTTTGGCGGTTAAGTCGCTGGGAAAGTTATTGGAAGCAACTTGTCATTTAAGTTCAAACTCTGTTCTTAGCTGTGGGCAAAGAGTTTCCATTTAAATTAGAGCAACTTAAGAAGAAATATAGCACTCTGACCCCAGTAAGTTAATTATACCTCTCTGGACATAAATGTCTTCAATATAAAAACCAAAGATACAGCTTCATAATGCCGACATTCCACAAGTAGCCTTTTTTTTTTTTTCAGACGAAAATTCAACATACCACATTTTAATAGGCATTTGAGCTGAATTCAGCTTTTCTGTTACTAAGCTGCATTGGCCTCTGACAGTTCTTAATATTTGTCCTTTGGCCTCAGGACATTTTTCATATACAGTTCTGATATGGCCCACAGAGACCATGAGAATGTCATGAAAGGGACATATGTTGCTTAAGTTACATGTTTCTAGCAAAGCAAAATGCCCATCCTCCGTATTAGAAAACAGATAGAGAAAGAAGTTAGTTTTATCCACATGAAAGTATGGCAAAAGGTGAAGGCTTTTGCCCCAGGAAGGCCTGAAGACACAATGACTCACTAACTCACCTGTGCATGCCCAGCATGGACAGAGGGCAGAGAGATGGTGTCCAAAATACCATGAGACTAACAAAATTTCCTGCTCTGTCTGCTGTAGGCACATATCAATTCAGAGTTCCCGAGTCTATGCCACTAGATTCACCAGTTGGCAGGATAAAAGCCAATGATGCTGACGTGGATGAAAATGCAGAGATTGAATACAGCATCACTGAGGGGGACGGATATGACATGTTTGGAATTACCACAGACAAGGACACACAGGAAGGAATTATAACTGTGAAAAAGGTAAATATCTTTACACACTTTATCCCAGCCTCTGAAATACCAGCCAAAACTTTGTCTAGCACATACTCATTTTTCATTTTTTGTGCAAACGTGATTTTTGTTTAATTTGAATGCTATTTGTTAGGAATGTCTACATTACTGATGTAAAGTTTCTTTTATAAGTGCAGTTGGTATCCTTCCTGTTATGTTTCCTTGACTAAGCCCCAGTGCACATACTTTGAAGGAGCTGAGAGAGTAAATAAGCTAAGGAGTCAGGTGGGACTGAGAAAAAAATTATACAGCCTGAACATATCCACAGAAAAATTCAATGAAGCACCACCATCCAGCTGTGATTTTCTCCCTGTGATGCTTACAGGATTTGCTCACTTAGCAGAAGGTGCTGTGTTAAGAACACAGAAACAATCAATATCACATTGCTTATTTGCATTATCAGAGGACGTTGAATTGTATAGCTCTAATATATTACAGTACATAGACAAGTTTCTTTTGACTCACATTTTGTACAAATGTAATTAATAAATCTATCAGCATGCTTTAAAAAAAAAAATCACAGTGCCTTGCTAGATCGTAGTGGACATCATCTACTAATTGCACATTGGCTGTCAGAAAAGGTTTGAGAAATATTGTTTACAATGGGCTATCAGGCAAACTTGATAAGGTTACAGATATCATCCTTCATCAGTTCAGGTTCAGTCATCACTAGTAGACATTGTGTAGATTTTCCGAAGATGCACTTGCTTGTTGATATCAGTACGACACCTGTCATTACTTGTTTTTTAGGAGATGCCTTCCAGGGTCTGATTATGATACCAGTCTAACTCCATTTGCATTTCTGTCTGTTGCTGACAGAAGCTGTGAATCCTCTACAATGCAATGGAAAAACGGGGTGACTACTCCCTCTCCACGTTTTTCCAAGTACAGTGGCAAAGAGTCGCTAAATACTGCTGCTTCATACATTTAACGGTGTGATATAGTCATAACCGATCATAAAAACATGTTTGACTTGATGGGTGGTCCTGGATATCCAGACACTAGATGTCACAGTGTTTCATTTCAGTGATGGAATGCCAATATCTAAACAAGCAATACCTAGAAAATCTTCCCTCCTTTAGTGTGTGGTGCTTATAGACAAGGAATAGACAAGAAATCATCAAAATGCCAAAAATGACAGAATAACAGGCAAGAAGAGTTAATGCTATTTGAGAAGACTAATTGGTGTTTAGGAGTTCCAGGCCTAGAATTCCTTGAAAAAGTGGTTTTTTCTTAGTGTATCATCAGTGGCATAGAGCCCTCTCTTTCTCATTTCTGTTGACATTTTAATTCCAGTTCAGGCTCTTGTTATGTAGCTCAAACCTCCCCATGACTTCCTGCCATTCATTTGGCTCATCTGGTTGCAAGCCACAGCAATCTCCACAGATTTCTCACATTTTTATTTTTTTTTTCTTGCAAGGCATTGGATTTTGAAAATAAAAACTTGTATATTCTCAAAGTGGAAGCTGCCAATACTCACGTGGACCCTCGATTCCTGTACTTGGGACCATTCAAGGACTCAGCTACAGTCAGAATTCAGGTGGAGGATGTAGATGAACCCCCTGTGTTCAGCAGACCAGCATACATAATGGAAGTGAAAGAAGACATTCCAATAAACAGTGTAATAGGAACAGTAACTGCTCAGGATCCAGATGCTGGCAGGAACCCTGTGAAGTAAGCATATCCAATTTCAGCTTGTCCATAAATTTTTTTACAGCATTAATTTTGCATCTATCATGTCAGCACACACAAAATAAAAAATAACTTCTAACAATGTGAATTGTAGGGCATGCTTAAATACGGAGTGTTGTAGATGGTAAATAATCTCTCACGCTTGAGCATATGTCGTTACGTGTGATTGTGTTTGTGTGGCCTTTGCATCTGGAATTACATCCTGATCTCTTCAGTAACTAATGTCTGTCTTTATTTCTACCATGAAAGAATTTACTGCAAAAAAGAGCACTAAGAAGATGTTAGTGTTGTTCTTCCTCCTTTAACTTTTTCCAGTGCAGTGCAGTGCATCCTCTTGGCTATGTGACAGGGGGATGATTCAGCAGCCTTTTCTCCTTCCGTCTATCCAGACCTGTTTAGCAGAGGTCAGTTATCTCCTCTAAACTGCAAGTAGAAATGCCTCAAAGTCAGTTCATGTGCACACACAGGCTCTGATCTTACCTGTATCAGTGTAAGGCTAATAAGATAAAGAGTCAGTCTCATGAACTTTGTAAATCCCACTTGCCATGAATCAATAAACCAGTCTTAAAGGTGGTGGAGGAAATGTTAAGACTGGAGTAGCTAAACCTAAGCCTTCATTTTTTCGTAAATTAAGTGTTACATTGTTTCAATACGTGCTGGAATACTTAAGTCATATTGGATAGAGTATAAAAGAACTTTTAAATGATTGTGTGCTTTATTTAATGTTCATTGCTACTGACAAGGCAGTGAAAGGAGGAAATGAGAAGTAGTACAGCAATATTAAATTCAGGTCAATTTTCATCATGTCTCTGATTGGGCACCTTGGAAATGCAATAGTAGTCTTTAGATCAAAATAGAACAATGCAGGTTTAATAAAAATCCAGTCCACTTCTGCAAACAACTATCTTTCATCAAGATATCTTACTATACTTAAGAGGCATGAGTACATTTTAAGCTCTTAGCTCATCTTGTGAGGGGGTAAATATTATAATCTTAATTTCCTAGATGGAGAAGCTAAATCTAAAATGTTTCTGCAGAAACTCTCATTATCTTCAGTTTGCATGGCATGCCCTACACATGAATTCCTGCTCAAGACTAAGCCTTCTAAGTTTAATTAAGGCTTTCTTTCATTTATATCATGACATGATATATCATGATACGGTGTTCTGGGCCAGCAGAGCATAGTCGCTTACAGAGTAGCATAATGTTTTGCAGACTTTGGTGAAGCCCAGGGACAGAATAAACAACTTCTATAGCATGTTTTCATGGGCATGCTAGCATGAAGATGAAAAATTGTTTGGGGTGACACCTAGGCCCCTTGCAGACTTCATAGGAACGTACTTTTTTATACGTAATGGCACCGGAGAGTAAGGGGAGTGATCCCCTGCTTCCCCGTGGTGATAACTACAACCATTTGCATTTCACACCAGCTCCAGCTCCTAATTATAAGTGATTTACAGTGGATAGGGATTTTGCTGTTCATTGTTGAGTAGTGCCTTTTGGCTCTTTGCTATTAATTGAATGTGTGTGCTAAAACTTATCTAACTTTCAAAGGGCAGTTCTTTAATACAGTATAGGTACTTTGCATATTAAAGTATCAGACGGTTATTGAGCAAAATTTAGCAAAAGTGTCAAAACTGATGCAGTGCAGCAGAAATCTTGTTTTCTTTTTTCTTCAATAGCATGCAACAGTAAAGTGCAAGGAAAAGTAAAATAAAAATGAGGAAGAGGTTACAGTGATAGAAATAAACACAGAAAGAAGAAACATGAAAATCAGTAAGAGGGGAAGGAAATCAGAGGAGAGCAGTAGCCTGAGAGATGTTAACTTGCAATAAATGTAATTTTCTGGTGCTAATATCTTGGATATCTACTAGAATTTAGGGGCATGGGTTGCGTCTGCATCTTTTTGACAAGGTAATTTTTTTTTCTATCATGCAATAGAGATGCTAAATCCGATTTTCACTCTGAGCTTCGGGTGAGATGCAATTAGACTGTATATATATGTCTTGTCACTTGCTTGTCAATTTTTCTTGATGGTTAAAAATAAACTCTTTAGACACTTGATATTACAATGAAAACCTTCCATTTTCTCCTCTACTCAACTGAAGATTTCTCTTCCTAAACAAACTGAGCCCTAACTCTGTTAGATGAAAGCCCCTTTGATCTTCCATTAAAGGAAACCTTCACAATATCATTATGAAAATGCATTATGAAAAATTCACACACGCATCCCTTCCTGACCCACAAATCTTCCTGACTTGTGGTTACATTAGACAGCAAGCTGCTGAACATCAGAAGACAATGAAGCAATAGCAAAAAATGAAGCAGATATCTGCCCTGGTTCTGAGACTGCATAATCATTCATGACCTCTATATTGGTTGAGCTGAATTTCATCAGTCTCTCTCTTATAAATTAAGTTTTGCTGTGAAAATGTGGAAAAAAAAAAAAGTTGAGAAAATACAAAAATACATCAGCTATATTTGAATATGCATCTATGTGTAGTGCTGCTAACACGGTCCTGAGTAACACTCCACTGTCCAGATGTGTTATAAAAAAAAAAGGTTTGCATTCTGCTTGTGTTTTATCTACACGGAAATAATATAAATCTCTGCATACTGAAAAAAAATGCTGAAACTGGCACTGCTGTTTTGTACATCAGATCTTTTTAAATTGCTAGTTGAGTTTTTTTGCTATAGTAACTCCTCAGAGGCATAATGAAGTTCATCAGTCACTGGAACTGTCTTCCTGCTGTGATTTGATTTACTAAAGTATCCCAGATGAAAATGATCTGCAAACAAATGTAAGGCTTAATTTTGTTTGTGTATTTTACTGACAACATATTTGCATGTGTTAGATTCTCTCTTTCACCCTTACCTTCTTCCTATTATGTAAAAGGAGAGACTGTAATCTGCATAGATACCTTTTAACTTCCTAGCTTGTCAATTCCTCAAAGTTTGAAAGAGATGAAATCCTGAAATCTGACAAATACACACGAGTAATTTAATTAAATAAATGTAAAAATGAATTTGATGTTATCTTCTTAATTCTTACTAGGTTATGATCCATAAGTCAGAATCCCCACCAATTCAACATAATTAAGAGTCTTGATCAAAAGAGACTGGATTATGCAAACTGAGAAACAGAAGTGACAGTCTAGCTTATTAAAATCATCCTTCTAGATCAGATTTAATGGTATAATTGGAATATACTTTAACTGCATTGACCTTGTATGTATTTTCTTTGGGATATGAAGAAATAAAATTAACATTTCATTAAGAAACTGTTCTCTGCTGAGTTTTTTTTTTTTTTTATGAGTTTAAGTTTCCACTGTACAAATGACTGAATATATGTATGGCTTTACAAATACTTACATTTTAAAATTCTTAATATCTTGAAGAAGAAGTCCTCAGTGTTACAGCTCTGGTAATCCTAGAATTTGGGAAATCCTACAAAAGGAAGATAGTGATCACAATACACTAAGACATTAAAATGTGCTAAGACAGTAAGATATTTCAAGTTCATTCAAAATATAAAGCAAGAGTGAAAGTAAAACTGAAGAAAAAAACCTCAGTGAGTGGACAACTCATGCCTAAAGCTAGTTGCTTATTTAAATATCTTGCTGAATAAGAGCCTGAAACATACTATTACAGTTGAGTGGAAAGCTAATCTATGGAAAATCCTGATACTTCATTTTGAAGAAGAATGGAAAATCTAGATTTACTGCAAAATGGAAATAAGAAAGTATTTCAGCTGAAAGATATGGAAATGAGCTACAGAATATCTGAAAAATAATTGAATTCATGAAATACCAGCATAATATCATACAAAGCCTGACTGAATGAAAGTTAAAATGAAATGTGTACCATATCAAATACTTACTTTGTAAAAATATAAACTAGCCAGACAAGTTTGTATAAACGTGTTTCCATCAAACATTTCAACCAAGTCAACATATTCACATCTGCTATTTAGGTTTGGACAAAGCAACACTTTTCAAGCTGAGGTATGCAGCATTACAGTGCTGCATAAAGAAACTAGGTTAGTGACACCACAGCTGACTTCATGCAGCCAAAATTGCAGTATTGTCAGTAGAGTGACAGCAGTGAATGAAAACTAATTCTGAAGTCCTGAAACACAAGCAAGGTGTGCTTGTGCAAGTCCTACCAAAAAAAAAAGGTAGCTTACTAGTCCTAGTACCTTCAAATGTCATTTGGCTCATTCCATAGGAATTTAATATGGAAAAACAGTTTAGTGCAAATAGTTAATACTTTCTATTGTTTTGTCTAGCAAGGTAGACTACACTTAAATTCTTATTTTGGAGTAAGACTTGTCTAATCTACTGTGGACATTATATCCCATTAGTTTATATGCAAGGAAGAAAAAAAAATTCAGTTACAAGATAATTAGCAAGTTAGTTAATGTTAAACTTTTGTCAGAATCATGTCTCAACTAGATTCTTCTATTCCCTCCCTTATCCATGCAAGGTCTTTCTCAGAATTTAAGGGACACTGCACAGGCAGTAGGAAATCCATGCAGAATAAAGGACATGTCTTGTAGCTGCTCCTAGGGCTGAGAGGGAACAAAAATTTTTCTTCAGCCTCTGCATTCCCCTCAGTTCTGTAGTGGCAGTAAACTCTGCCAGTCATTTTCCTGGCCCAGTTTTCATCTGACTGCTTACCAGCTCAGCCATTATCATTATCCTAGTCTGGGCACAAGGGACAGCAGTAGCTGCCTTTGTCTCCATCGACACGGCCTGCAAGGAGACCAAGGGTACACACACTGGGTGTCCTGAGGCTCTGTCTTGGATTGTACACGAGCACACAATTGGGCTTGAAATAAGAGCAGAATAATGCAATTGCATTCTTGCTTTGGCAGCATCAGAGACATATTTCTGTCAAAACATAATTTATGCAAGAATTTTCCCTTCATGAGAGATGAAACCAAGTCACCACATTTGGATCAAGGTGGTAGCACCCTCTCCTGGGAACTGGAGAGTTCAGCTTTTAAACTTGGATTCATTCAGTTCAGCAGAAAAAGCAAAAGATCAGATTGAAAATTTGAATCTGTATTTAGACTCTGAGCTCCCCCAGAGCTTGTTAGCATTCATTTTCACATCTAGATACCATCAAGCCTGGCTGAGAACGTTAGCTTTAATGAGTTACAGCAAACCTTTGTGTGATATGTACCGTGGAATAATGAATCTCTATTCCATGCTGACATGGTTGGGGAGAGCAGCCTTTTTAAATGCTGAGAAGTGAAAGGCAGAAATGCACCCCAGCCGTCAAATTTTATATCAGAAATGATTGGGAACAGTTGAGATATCAAACCGTAAAAAGAGAGTTTTATAAAGGGAAAGCAAACTCAGCCTTAAAATAAACTTCATATCTTTCAGGACACAGGCTTCACATTTCTCACTAAAAACAAAGCTTTGATGATTCTCAGAGGTATGTAAATTCTGCAGCAATTCATTTATTCACTGACGATACTCCACCTTCTAAATCAAACCTCCAATGTGTCATTATCCAGTAGCTCAGAATTAGCTCTTTGTGTGAATACACAAAGACTCTGAAACCTATGCCGAAAACAAAAGGAAACCCCATTTACTAGATGTTTGATGTCTAGTCTTAGAAAATGGTTTAAGAGCATAGAAATTAAAAGGAAAGCATTCCCCTAACCCCTTTCTCTGTATTTGCAGGTACTCTGTAGATCGTCACACTGATATGGACAGAGTATTCAACATCAATTCAGGAAATGGTTCGATATTCACTTCAAAACCTCTTGACCGGGAAACACTGCTGTGGCACAACATTACAGTAATAGCAGCAGAGATCAGTAAGTTAAACCTAAATACAACTCTTGTCCCTGATGTAATGAATTTAGCCTTCTCGCTGAGTGTGTGGAAAGCACGGTTGGACAGATGTCAGGTTATATGGATACTCCACTCAATACTAATGAAGAAGCAGTAACTCTGCAAGAGCTTGTCTGCAGTTTTATGTTTACTAGGGACAGAGTTCCCGAAGTGGTAACTTAGCTAAGCATGAAGGAAAGAAGACAGTTCTGTGTTTTCTAATCATTAATAGCCATTTTTGAGAGTGGTTGTTGAAATAAAAAACTGGCATGCAGCATACAAGATGGTTTAAAGCCATACTGCATTCCTTTGCTGAATTCAGTCTCATCCAGACTGGATGTTTTCAAGTAAGGCTAAAGTGGCTGGGCTGAGCTAGGTGCCCAGATCTTAATCAGTTTAAGGATTTCTACTTTTGACTTCTTATGCATCCTTTTGAAATTACAAGCTGTGGTTACAAATCAGTCTGTCACTTAGTTTAGGACTTAGTGCCTTTTAATGCTAGGTATGGGGTTTCAGCACACCAAATACTGACTGTTAGTCAGGTGTTTGCGTTTCCATTACGTCCTTGAAGGAGTGATCCAGGGTCAAGAGTCGAACACAACAGGCAGCCCCTGGGTAGAGGAAGAGGGGAAAAATAAACACTGAAAAAGGAAAGAATAGCAACAGTTAGGATGCACATTTGCACTGATCCCAGCAGGGTTAAAATAGTCTACAGTATAGAAAATTGTATAGTGTCTGAAAACCAACTTAACATCCATACAAAATCTCACTTGGTTCCTTGCTTTCTCCCCTGAGCACAGACCTTCTACTGGGCCAAATACTCTCAATTAAACCTCCGGTGTCTGACACTGGTTTCTGTCTTAAATCTCATTTCTCTTTAGTCTGAATCATTCCAGGCTTCAATAAGATACTTCCTAGGGTGTGCTTTACTAAGCCTGGATCAAACTGGGCAAAACTAGGGTAGATGTCTTCCAAAGGTAATTTCCTTGGTTGAAATGCAGCTGCTTTTCTGATCTAGGACTAATTTTAATCTCAATAGACTAGACTTGAAAGTACCACTGCTTATTGTTCCTAAGCTAGCTAAATACAGTAATTTCTAGCTAGGCTACCTAAAGTCCCATCCCACTAAATTCCATAGAATGACTGATTACCCTCAGTGGCATATTATCACATTAAACTCCAGGTATATTTCAGTGAAGTAATCTCAAAAAAAAAAAAAAAAAAATCCAGTCAAGTTGCAGGCAGGATGCACATTCAGATGGGTAGGTGCTCCCTTGGATATGGGAAAAAAAATAAATTACAAAGTCATAAGGAGAAACACCTTTCAGTGGTGACTGTTTTTGATTTCATTTTACAGTTTAGAAAAAAAAATATAGAGAAATGGTTTTTTCTTGGTCTAAAATTGTCAGTAAGTGTAGACTGCTCCATTTCTAAATATTCTTTTTCACCAGTATGAGCTGCAGTTGCTCAGCAGCCCAGAGAATCAGTCGTGCTGCGACTGCTGCAAACAAATAGTTGGTGAAGCACCGGGTCAGTACATCTGCCATAGTCAGAAGGCAAATTGGCATTAAAACTCAGTACACATGTCTACTGAGTCACAGCTGCAGAATTACAGCTGATTTACCAGAGAGCATTCCCAGAGTATTTTTAAATATTCATTACTTAACATTTAAGGGTAAATCAAACATTGGCAGGATTTTGAGGCTGTATTCTGAAAAAAAAACCACTTTAACAGTTTGGTTGCTGGCTCAACAAAAATCATATCCCTATGGAGAGAAATAGATTTAAGCAGTTTGTGGAGTCTGTGGAGTTTTTTTTGGAGATGGAGCCCAGAAGTAATTGAAGGATAATGCAAACAAAATAACCTACATCAATTAACCTGCACAAATAATTTGAAAGATGATGACAAAAAGAAAAACGAAAAAAAACTTGAAGACAACTTTAAACTGACATTTCCTTTAAATCAGAAAAAAAGGCTGATGTTCATAGAGCATAGAATTTGTTTGAAACTCCTGTTTATTCCAGTATCATTTTAAATTGTGATAACCTTAAGACCTAGAAATAAAATGAAAATATGTAGTTCATGGTTCAAAAAGCAGGAAAGAAAACAATTGTATCTCTTGAGAGGAGAAGAAACACATTGGCCAATAGATTTGAACATATTTGTTAGAAAAGTATGCCCTTATGAAATAGTCTTGCCAATAGTCCTTTGACTTCAAATGAATACCTTTGATTTCTGTCTACTATAAAAAGATCACTATTTCTATTGATGTATTTTAGCATAGAATTCAGCCTAGTCTGTATTATACATAAGATGTTATTTTATACATTGAATGAATTTAGCCCGATGGTTCATAGTAGAAAGTGGTTTATGCCTAATGGAATCATACTAACTTCAATAGGACTGTGGAGCATTAAAGCACAATATTTTGTCCCAGTGACTGAGCTCTGTAATAGAAATACACAGTGCCAATTTTGGAGAAAGCATTTTCAAATTTATAAAACTATGATAAACACAGTTACAGGACTTTAGTTAAAAGCCAACAAGCTACTATAATGAATAAATATAATAATAAAGTCAACAAGCTACTTTAATGAATGCTTGTAGAAGCATATAGAGTCTTAGATCTGCTATGTTTTATTGCAGAATTTTTTCATTGAATCATAGGTTAAAATGCATTAATAAACTATTTTAACGTGGGTAGGAAATCAACATAACAAAATTCAGTGTAAGCCCTCATGTAAGAGAGGGAGAAAGTATTTTTAAATGAAACTAATTTCAATCCCACTCTTTCCCTCATAGACGTATGGTGCATTTCCAGATGTTTTCATTTTTATCTAGAAAGATGACAATATTTTCATCAGTATTTTATACTCAGGAATATCCTTGTGAAATTCAGTCTCTTGGTACAATGCAGTTCTTACAGGAAAAAAAAAATTGTTTACATATGGGGATCTGCAGATTCTATATAGGGCTTACGTTCTTCAGCCAATACATTTTAGTTTTTACTCTAGAACATCAACCAAACCAATTCATAGCAGATTAGAAAACATCTGTGATCACAGCTGCAGTTACTATTTCTATAACATAATTATAATCATGGTAGCTAAGGAACTGTGTCACAAGATTTGTGGGGACAGAACATTATATTTAACAAGTGGAGAGGAAAAAACCCACTCGTTTCTATATTCATGACTCTTCAATATCCTGTTTCAGAGCTAAGGAATGGGATCTGTTCTAGAGACTTTGTTGCCACCAAACTGTGTCTGTGGGCTAATAAATAGATTTAATTTAGGTCCAGTATTATATTTATATATATCACAAATAAATTCATAATCATACTTGGAATGTTCAAAGGAATTTGTAAATCCTAGACTCCTATCTAGTCTTAACTCTGTAGTTTACACAGAATTAGAGCAATGATACTACATTCATCCCATAACGCATTCACCAGAAATCAACTGAATATAAGTGGAGTGCCATGAGTGAGAATTAAGGCAATGAGCCTACAAGTCTGTCCTTTTCCTCTACCGCACTGAGCTGGAAGCTGGGCTAAATAAAATCTCTGTTCATTCTGAGTTTATCATTTCAGACAACCCAAAACAAAGCAGCCGTGTTCCAGTGTTCATTAAGGTTTTGGATGTAAATGACAACGCTCCAGAGTTTGCCATGTTTTATGAAACCTTCGTCTGTGAAAATGCAAAAGCAGAACAGGTGTGTTGTCTCCTTGTACTTAGAAAATATTCCAAATTAAATCAGTTTTGCTACTACTCTTGCATCACCTCATCAAGAGGGTGTACTTTGCATTGCATCAAACTTAATTGCAAAATTAAACAGTGGTTGCACAGTATCTGATTTCACTTAGTATTCTTGCAGCTAGCACGACAGTATGTTTTAGACTGTTATTTTCTGTACTGCACCTTGTTATCCCTGATTCATTTTCATTCTGCGATTCTCTCCTTTATTCAGGCACCTCCATTGTCTCCTTCAAAAACAGTTTCAGGGCTGTAACTGTTACAGGTCCTGTCTGTGATACAACTATTCACTGCCAGATAACTCTCACTCAACCTGTCCTATTGTTAGGTAGTTCAAAGTAGCAGATAATTTGGAAGATTCAGCCAAACTAATTCTGTGACATGAGATTTGGGCAGATAAATAAATAGTGAGCTTTGAGGACTGTCTCACCTTTTGTCTCTATTGCTTGTCACTTGCAAAGGTTTCCTACCCATCTGGAGTGGCATCAACCCAAGCCTTCTGTTGAATTCAACATGATTTTCCTGCCAACTTGCAAATTGGCTGATGGTATAGAATACAAAAGTATTGTAATCCTAAACAGCATCACTTTTGTTAAGCTCCCTGTAGCAACATCATGTGCCTTAAAACAGAAGAAAAAAAATTAATAACATTATTTTACAATTTACTTTACAAATTACACAAATAAACATGAAGTCCACTGACTTTCAAAGTAATTCTGTTCTTATTGTTTCAGCTGATACAAACATTAAGTGCTGTTGATAAAGATGACTCTTACAATGGACATCAGTTTTCATTCTCCTTAGCTCCTGAGGCAGCCAGCAGCTCAAACTTCACACTGCAGGACAACAGAGGTGAATTTCTGGGAAGACTTTTCTTTATTATCTCTTCCTTGCTTTCAATCTTCTGATGAAGATTTAATGCATGCTCTGTGTATTTCCAGATAACACAGCAGGGATTTTCACCCGAAAAACCAGATATAACCGGCATGAAACAAGTACCTACTTCTTGCCAGTGGTAATATCAGACAATGATTACCCTATCCAGAGCAGCACTGAAACAGTGACTATTCGAGTATGTGCTTGTGACCATCGAGGCAAGATGCTGTCCTGCAATGCAGAAGCCTTGATTCATCCTACTGGTCTTAGCACTGGGGCTCTTATTGCCATTCTTCTCTGTATCATTATATTACTTGGTAAGTAGTTCAGGGACATTTTGTTGCTTTCATGGTTATTTTGCATTGCTGTAATGATTATTGCAAGACTAGGACAAAGGCAGAGGAAAGACATTTTGTCTTATCCTTCATATACATTATTCTATTTCCTCCTCTGAGGGCTGCTACAGATAGGGTGTGTAGAATACAACCTATCCAATGTACAAGCCAGAGGAGACAGCTTGGCTCCACCCCCCGATTGATGGAAAGAGACAGCTGTAGGGAGACATTAATCCCATTCCTTATTGGTATCTGAGGAGGACCAGACTCATCACCCTCTGCAGGTGTCCATCCCTTTCCATTGTTCGTAGAAGGAGACCAGATAACATAGGTTTAAAGAATTAACTTCCCATGTCTAAACTGAGGAGAAACAAGTCTCAGTGCTTCTGTTCAATTGGAAAAATATGCTGAAAACTTCTAAAGAACTCTCTCAGAGGCTGCAGGGTCCTCCATTTCAGGCACCTGTGAGTAGGAAGAGGTTGGATCCTGTGTGTGGAAGATGTACAGAGCTCACATTTACAGGAGATATAGATATATATATATAAGGACAGTTTGAAACATCTCTCACATTCCTCTGGGATTCTACCGCTCTCGTACTGCAAACAGAGATATGGCCATTAGCCAAAATCTGTCTGTCTGTGGAGAACTCTACAACACAGCACAGGCTGTTCTCTGGGAAGTGTTATTGGTCAGGAAAGAAGAAAGTCAAACAATTTTTATATCAATAGGGACAATCAGGGGAGAAATTTTTTCCTTAGTGATGCTGCTTCTTTTTACCATGCTAGTATCTTCCTTGGACATACTCAGCACCACTGCAGAATCATCCTGACCTTCACTATTAACAAAATTTCCCTCTCCGGTAATGAGTCAAAGACCACATTGTGATTCTCAGACCAACAGTATAGTATGGCTTGTTCAAATAAGCACTATCCCATTTTCAGAAAAGATTCCCACAATAACATCTTGTCTTTAATTCACTTTTGAATTCATTTTTCAAAACATAGTATCATTGCCCCTAAGGGCTGAGCTCACTTTGTGTTAAGTTCCTTACCAGAAAAAGAAATGTAATGCTGCAGGTAGCCTCGCACTCGTTAGTACAACTGTGCTCATTAATATCAATCTGACATTAAACGATTTCCTGTTTTATGTCAATCGAAAATAATTGATTCTGTGTGCTAAGCAGCACTTTATGTCAATTACTGCTCATGCCACCATGCACCATAAGCAGATTTTCAATTAACTCAGCTATATAATTTTCCATTTTCAGGTTGGTTGCAGAGTTTGAATGTGCAACCACTACTGAGTGAAAAACAATACTCTGGGCAGACCTGAACCACAGCTCAAAATTTAGCAGCAACAAAAAGTGACTGTAAATTGCTAGGTTTATTTGGAGTTTAAGTAAGTCTAGCAGCTTATCAAGAGGCCTCAGACACTGCTAAACACTGACATGCAAATAAAGGTGATGTCCTTTATCATGTAACTTCTAATGGGCTTTTTTGCCTGCAAGTTCAGCACAAAATAATAGAATACACATATCAGACATGTGACATAATATCAAAGGTTCATTCTTGCATGTTTTGTGTAACACCTTTCTTGTAATGAGCTACTTCAGCAACCCTTCGATGTAAAATCTGTCATTCTTGCACTTTCTCAGACCATTCTACCAGTTGCTATTCCAGAAGCTCATTCAAAATTGACATTATTTTTCAAGTTCTCCAGAATATTCTCTAGCTATCTCTGTTCTGTCACATACACCTTTCCCCAGTCCTCCCACGGAGTGTCACAGCTTTATACTCTCGAGGAAGAGAATTATCTCTTACTGCGTTTTTGCACAGCAGCACAAAGAGGCATCACTCAGATTAGGACCCTTTTGTGACACCACAAGTGAATTCTTATCATTAGGCTGAAAGCCTGAATTGCCACCATTTGAACCATCTCTCCTAATTCCTCCAGTTGCACCACCTCACTTATTTCCTTTCAGCTCATATTGACAGATGTTCTTCTTTATTCCCAGTATTCCCACAACAAGACACAGCATTTTCCTGCTTTATCCTGTCTTCTTGGTATCCTTCCATAGTTAATGGAGAGGAAAAACACATCTTCTACAACATGCTTGGGCACACCTACGGATAGTATCTTGCTCTAAGCAATCCTGCAGGGGAGCTCATAATTTAAAAACAAACAAACAAAATCCCCCACAAAAATCCCCTAAAACCAATGAAATGAACACCATGCCACCCCAGTCCCCCACAAAAAAAAAAAAAACCAAACCCCCAACAAACCAGCTTTTTGTCTGTCAAAGGAAGCTAAGAATGAGAAGTTTCAATGGGCTAAAGTTTTGGGTTGGGGACTCACCATTTCCCTTTGAAAGGTTACCAAAAAGTCCTTAAAAGTTACTGTGCTTTGACTCACATACCATTTTAGAAACACAACTGACATGAAAGATAATTGTGATCCACCTTATCATCTCATATTAATGAGTTTAGGCATTTCTGCTTTCCTTTGCTTTGAAAGAACTATAAGAACAGCAAGATGTGTCTTCCCTTGGAGTTTGCACAGCAGAGGTGAAATACTGGGCAATGCAGACCTCAAACTACCAAAGCAATATTAATAGTAGAAATAACCCTGCTTCTTGCTGCTGTTCATTTGTCAGTATTCAGCCATTTACCACCTTAATGCATAATCCAGCTAATAAATCTGAAATCAGCTTCTATACAAAAGTATTTACCATATTCCTTTCCATCTTCTGTTCCACTTCTCCAACTGTTCTGAGAATCATTATTGAGCAAAATATTAAAGTTTGGACCAGGGTCATTGGAAAGAGTTTCTTCCCTCAAAATAAATGAAAAATATATGTATGCATACACGCACACTTTAAAATGAAGGACATAAAATATGTTTCAGAAATCTGTCTTTGGCAGATTAAAAAATAACTTTATCATATATCACCAGTCTAAGATTTAAGTCATGTACTTTTTTAAGGTGGTGTACATTGTAAAAACCATGGAAGTTAATAAACTCAGACTTTATGCTGTCTCAAAATCCACTCCATATTCCAGGCTTTTTTTTCCAGAGGAGGATAAGTTTACTTATCTTGAAATTCAGCTTAGCTAAACTCAGTGGATTCCAGCCTTGTCCATAGCAGAAGTTGCATATTGTCCCAGAGGTTCAAGGTAAATAACATCTGATGTTACTTATTTTGAAGAAAGTATTTCTCCCATCCCAACTGTTATGAAACTAGTTCTGTTCTCAAGGTATTTCAAAATTACTATTATGACTCTGGGTAACAAAAAGTGTCCCCGACAAAATGACACTCCGCTTCCTTAAAGCTTGGCGTCACCTTTTTTCTAGTGCACATCCATGCCATTTCATCTCCCAGGGAACTCACAGGCAGAGCAAGCACAGCATGAAAACCTGGCACACACATTTTCAGTTTTGCAAAACATTTTCTAAAACTTTAAATTTGAGCCGAGGTGCAGCATTTCTTCTGGGCATTAATGGAGTTGGGGATTAACCTTCTTTCACTGTTGTTTTTGTTTCTAGTTACAGTGGTGCTGTTTGCAGCACTGAGACGGCAGCGGAAAAAAGAGCCTTTGATTATTTCCAAAGAAGACATCAGAGACAACATTGTCAGTTATAATGATGAAGGTGGTGGAGAGGAAGACACCCAGGCATTTGATATTGGTACGCTGAGAAATCCTGAAGCTATAGATGATAATAAATTGCGCAGAGACATTGTGCCTGAAACACTTTTTATACCACGGCGGACTGCAACAGCGCGGGATAACACGGATGTCAGAGATTTCATTAACCAAAGGTTAAAGGAAAATGATACAGATCCAACAGCCCCCCCATATGACTCGTTAGCAACCTACGCATATGAAGGTAATGGTTCTGTGGCCGAGTCCCTCAGCTCCTTGGAGTCAGTGACTACAGATGGAGATCAGGACTATGATTACCTCAGTGACTGGGGACCTCGGTTTAAAAAGCTGGCAGATATGTATGGCTCAATGGACAGTGACAAAGACTCCTAATATGTTGCCTTTTTTTTTTTCTTTTTGTTTCCTGTCCTCATTTTCAGAAACAGCGTTGGGATATGTGAAGTGGCTATTTCTTTCTATTTCTCCACAGCTGTGTGAAAAGGGTTCTCTATTCTACTCGTTTGAATTGTCTAATGACAGAAGTCTGTGTGGGTTAGCCATCAGAAAACTTTTTCTAGTATCATTTTATGAGCTTCCAAGAGGCAAAATCCTTATTTTTTAGTGCATCCAGTTTACCAGGCTAGTCTTACAGGCACAGCAGTAGTGGAGGGGAAAGAAAGGATCAGATAAGGGGCAATATTTTTACTTGTTCTGCTTATATTGTAAATTGGAGTATATTACTGTTTAAGCTCACTTGCTTTTTTTACTTGTATTCAGACTATTCAGCTCAGACAATTGCTCTGTCGATTGTGTATTGCACATCCCAATGTAATGAGGTACCCTAGTTTACCCTATGTATTATAGTTAAAAGTAGTGGTGATGGAATGAAGGTTTATTATACAAGTAGAGTAAGCTGAGAAAAAAAACATCAAACATGCATTTTACTCATGGAGATGGTAGAAAGGCTTAATGGTCATTTAAACCTAAGTGTTTCTCTAGAACTTGCCATGCCCCCAATGCACTGAATCATACTGACACACACATATATATATTTCATTGACTTCTCTGTATATATTCTTCTGACCTAGCATTGCTGGAGAGATGTGTGTGTGTGCACGCGTGTGTGGTCAGTTGCCCCAGTATCTACTTCTTAGATGAATTCCCAGTTCTAACCCAGACCTGCTTTGCGATACAGGGAAAGTCATCAAATCCAGCCCCAGATTAGGTCATGAATCGGATGAAGGAACAGATCATTACTGTGCTTTTGTTTGTACTTCTGTTGGCCTCCACCTGCACATCAGTTCAGTGACTGTCACTGCACTGGGGAGGTGGGAGTCAGGATGTTCATATCCAGCTACTTCTGCCTGTTCTCATGTGCAGGTGGGGAGGAGAGGCCTCAAGGTGACTCTGCCACCCACTGGGGCAAACGGAGGAATTGCAGAGAAGGGCACACTGCTTTTTTTGTCCTCACCTTCTCTACGTGGATGTCCAGGGTGGATTCCTGACTTGACTCTCTGCCCAGTTTCGCTATCTGTAAAATGGGGAAATAATTCCTACCTCATCAGGATGTTGCAAGAACTATGTAAGTCATTTAGAAAATGCTTTAGAAATGGAAAACGTTCTACAGTTGGCATTCTACTGCTGGAAGTAAATTGTCTTGGGTTCGGGTTGTGTTTTTTTTTCTCCTTCCAGATTCAAGCCCTGAATGCACAAATAAGTGAGAATTAGTTGTCATTCCAGTGGCCTGAAAAAGTAGGGCTTATAACTATAACTCATCTTTTAAAATAAACTACACAGCCAGGTTTGTTAAAGACTTCACCAAAAGGTAAAATTTTAATCCTAAGTGTCATGTTAAAATGGGCAGAAAGGAAGAATTTTCATATTTTCAGATTTGTACTCTATGCTTTAGAGGGTACAGCATAGTTCTGTGGTGATTTAGTTTTAAGGTATTGTCAGCAGAAAAGCTGTAATTGTATTCCTGGAAGGATCATAGGTAAAATTGACTATATACCATCAGGATTTCAATTTTTTTTTTAATATATATATCTTTTTTAAATTAATTGTATTATTCCAAGCCATGTTTTGAATTTTAATAGGTAAGGTGTTTTTCCATCACCTTTCTTTTGTGATGGCAGTTGCTATTGATTGTATCCATCGGTGTGTCTGGATACATCTGAGAGTCAAAGAGACATTGGTTTGGAAGACGCTGAATGCATCTGTGATCGATTGATGATTTTTTTTCTTTTTTTTTTTTTATCAATTCCCTCTCATTGAGATAACAGGTTTGTTAAAGGCAATTGATTAGTTCCCAAAGCTAAAAGGGAAAAGTTGCAGATGGTTGTTTTGATTTACTTAGGTCAGCGGTAACTGTAACCAGTTTATTAATTAATATATTAATATTTGAGAGCTCACATTATTAGAACTTTCAATCCTGTTATATTAATTGCATTCCACATATAAGGTTGTCAGGGATAGTGTAATTGCGGAAATATTATTTTGTATCAACAACTTGGCTCATTTGACAATTGAAAGGCCAAGCTCTCTTGAGAGCTAGGGTCTGTTTAATGATATATTTTAAAGTTATGTTAGTATTCATGCTTAAAAAAGCAGGAATATCTTTTTTTTTTTTTTTAGTATAGTTTACAACAATGTGTAACATTGTTGTCATGCATTTAGAGCATTATTTTTAATTTAGCGTCCTATTGAGATGATGGTTTTGTTAATTCCTTTTAGAAAGTGTTCATTTCCATTCTTCTTTGTGATGGTCCATTTCTGTTTATAAAAAGTAGTTTAAGCAAAAGTATATGTAGAAGTACACATTTTTTATTTATGACCACCCCATCACACATAAATTTTATAAAATTAAATGATAATTTTATACCATGTTTCTGTTATAAATAAGATGCAAGCATAGGTTGTGTTAAAGTAAAATTGTTTTTCCCCCTTTTTTTTCTTCAGTGAGTAAATTGCTCTTATCAATTCTTTGAACAATAATTGATTAGCATAAAAAAGAGAAGTACAGTAAAGTAAAAAGTACTTAAGAGAATATAAGTATTTCTTAAAAATTGGTTATAGGCTTTTTAGATTTTATTTTATTTGCAGGTCTTGTTTGCATTCTAGAGTTGTCTTTCCTTTTAGACAGGAAGAAGAAATTAGTTAAATCATTTTAATAAATCCAAAGTCTTCTGCGGAAGAATTGGAAAGTTAATACATATTTATGTAACTTCAGATATGCATAAATCCTGGTATCTACTTCCAAGTTGAATTGGTTGAATTTTTAAATTTTTTTTTAATTGAAATAAAGTTATATATTCATAAGGGAAAAGATTTTTCCACCCTATTCTCTTATTTAGTAAAGGGAAAAGAAGAGGAAAAGTGAACTAATAAAATTTTAAACTAACAATACATAAAATGGTTTGTTTTACATAACTTGGTTAATAGGTGGTCTTCCAACAAATAGTTCTTGATGAAAACACAAACAAATTAGAAGAATTAGTAAACTAATAATCTAAGTAATTTTTAAAATTTCATCGGTCTCGGGCAGTTCTGATTCACTCGTATCTTGTTCCTTTAAAAAGATAAGGTGAAAATTCGGCCTACTATAAATTAATCATTAAAAAAAAAAAAAACAACCGAAGGAATAATTCATTAAGTGTTGACTTAGCTTCTGTGTATTACAAAAGTTAATAGAATTTAAGAGAAGTTTGATGGCAGTCTCTTCACTCAATTGTTAGTGTATGTGTGTGTGTGCTGCATTCCCAGAGAAAGAGGAAAACAAACAAAAAAACCCCACGAAAGTCCCTAAGGGCTTTCTCTTACAGGTTATCACTTAGTGAGTCAAGTTGTTTAACACAGTGGTTAAAAGTCAAGCACTGATATTTAACTGTTTACAATAAACCAGCTAGGTAAGAGAAACAAAGAAGAAGTGTAAGATCACATCATTTTTGCTCAAGTACGCTTTCTTCTTTTTATGCGTATTCCTGTGAAACAAGCAAAAAAAAAGAAATATGCTTGGTTCACTCTTGAACTAGAGAGGCTGATTAGAGAGAGGTGTTTAAGATTCAAAAAAAAGATTTCAGCTTCTGCTTCACAAAGTATTTGCCTCTTAGATTTTACAGTTTGTCTCCAAGTTTAGGGGTGGATCTCCTTTTTGATCAGAGCAAGTGAGACTGCTTATAAAAATTTGACAAGAGTCACTGTTTGGGCTAGATTTCTTTAGAGTTTTTTGCAGGCTTCTGCCTCTCACTCTGGAACCATGAGTTAACTTATCAGTTCAATAGGTAAACACTTGTTCTGTTTACTCTAGTGGCTGGATGCTGTCTGGAAAGTGGATGCAGCTTCTCAGCATCCTACTGCATTAGTATTGGCTGGATTTCAATCCTGCTTGATTTATGGTCAAATTTTGATAGTTTAATAGCAGTCAAAAAATTAGTATGTAATCTTTTGCAGCAAAAGATAATCCACAATTTTCTCTTCACAGTTTTCCCCAGACAGACAGGAAAATTAACAAAGCCTGAGTGATAACATCTTTTTTTTTTTTTTTGAGAGGGAGTTACTACCCCCTGAATACCTAAGTAGGCTTGGTGTACTTTAGTTGTTCAGTTCACGATATTAAGCACAGCAGCTTAACTAGTAGAAATGTGTTGGCATACAAGTGCCTGTAATGAAGAGTTAATATTAATTGGTTTTCCGAGTCAGTATCAACTACTAAAATTCTCTTTCACCCTGCAGATGCCAGAGATTTTAATCTCAAGGCTAGCAGGAAACAACTGTTTATTTTGGTGGATTGTAGTAGCTTGGCAAACGCTAACTTTAGTGAGTTTAACACTTTGTAGCTTTTCTTTAATGTTTGCACATTCCACAGCTTTGTTTGATTGCGTTTAACAGCAAGCCGTTTTGATGGCAATTTTTTTTTTCTTTTTAGCATATAACACCTCTTTTACCTGCAGCTCTTTGTGTTCGAAGCTTGCTGTAGCAAGTGAAAATGTAAGGTTGTTCGCTTCAGTTCTAAACAACGTGTTTTTAGCAACAAGTTCAGAATCTGGAGTTTTCAATTTTTCTTCTCTTTCCACTTTTATAGGGTAATGATAACTTTAATACTTTATTTTCTGATTTCAAAACCACATATTCAACATCACTAATCAGTTTGGAAGCAGGTAAATTTTTATATTTTTCTTGTGCACAAAACACACTTTGCTGTTCGAATTGTAATTCCAGTTTCTCTATATTTTCTTGCATTTTTGCCACCTGTATTGGAGAGCAGGAATCGTTTTGCAAAACAGTACATTTTTTTTCATTAGAATTACAGTTTTCTGTGGTTTTATGATAGCAAATATCTCCTTTCTAGATTCCCATATCTGGATGAGTTACTGACTCTTGGGGTTGTTTGACTCCAACAAGAGTTTGTTTTTCTAGCAGTTGTTTCTCTTTGTGGTTTGCGAGCAGAGTTTTTTAAGGTGGTCCATGCATTTTTGCAGAATAATGTTCATGACACCCCACTTTCTTGGTACCATTTTCTGTCACGTTAAGAGGGGCACAGAAGAAGAATTTTCTGTCCAACCTGTATTAATTTATTTTTTGTCTGTCAGTGTCCCCCCTCCAGGAGATCAAAGCCTTTTAATGTCCAAAACAGCCTGGTAGTGTCTCATCTAATGAGACCCTTCGCTAACAGATTCGCTGAGATGGACAGGACATTTGATATCTTTAATAAATAGGCACTGCACCTAATAGCAGTAGAAACCCCCCTCAGCAGGTTTCTCCTATGAGTTATTTCAGTGTTGATGAAACTGTCAGCATCTAAGAACGAACTCACTCTAACAGTTCATGAAATAACACATTTGTTAATGCAAATTTGTGACAATTTATGGGGTCCGCTGTGTCTGGAATAGGGTCATACAGCAAAAAACCACACTTAAACTATGTAGTAACAATAATAATGCAAAGCATAGGCACACATGCTAAAGCAAAAACAACTTACAAGTAAGTAAGACAACTTACAAAGACTAAGTAAAGCAAAAAACTTAAGTACACACTATAAAGCAAAAGCAACATACAATGAAGTAAGAAGGAAAAAAATTAAAGTACTATGGAGCAAAAGTAAAATTAGTATATATGTATAAAGCAATCGCTGACCCCAAGGTGTCCCAAGAAGGTGGAGGAAGAAAAGGTCGTCCATAGATTACCTCTTCAGAGTTGATGGAACTTCTCCCCAATTTTTGCTTGGGTCCAGTCTTTTTTTATACCTTTTTTGTTTTGGAAGTTTGAGTGGTTATAGTCAGTAAACTAATTTGGGGGTGATAGAGAGATGAAATAGGCCCAAAGGTCCACTTCCTCAGTTCCCAGCAAGCCAGGATGTCCCAAAAAAAGGCAGTGTTATCTCCATAACACTCCTTTCTTCATTTTAATCCTTTTATCAGTTTCTGGGAATGTCTCCCCAGGTTCCAGAGTTTTCCAGGAATCTATAGGAAGGGGTTTTTTTCCTTCTTTTGTGTGACCTTATGTATCACCTTACCACAAGTCTCTGTGTGTGTGTTTATCTACTTTGCCAAGCTAAGTAATTTTTGTCCAGGGGTGGGGTGGGGGGAGACACCATAATTTTGGGCCCAAACTATTTTCATTATAGCTTGTGCACCACTCAGTATTTCAGTAGGTTTGTCAAATGTGTAATGGCTGCTCTTCAAATTCAGCCATCTAGAAGAAACTGTCTGGAGAAAATCCTAAGGGGCTGCCATGGGGCATATCCAATTTCCAGCAGCTAAAAGCCATCCTGAGTCCCAAAGTAGGAACCAACCCATGGCTCTGTGTCAAGGAAAGAAGGAATTTTTTTTTTTAATGTACCTCATATGTAACTATTCTCATTTATTTCATTTTGAAACAGTATTTAATGCCATAATTACAGGAATGGATCTATTCCCCCTTCCCCAAACCTTAAGTGAATCAGTCAGAAAACTAAGCAGCTCCAATTTACTCTAGAAATAAAGAGAGATGAGAAAAAAAATAATAAACAGAAAATTAAGAGGGATTAAAAATTAATCCCTGGGATTCATTACTCCAAGTGAGTTCAAGAGCGCAGTTAAGAGTCCCAAGTATTAGACTTTTACAACCTCAGTGACATAATTTCAGGTTTTGCAAGCCAGTTCACATGGAAGAGGATGAGCCGGCCATGCCGCAATGCCTGGCTGAGACTCCTTTTCGGTGGGGAGCACTGCACACCTGTGGGTGTAAGGCAGAGTAGGTAATGGTTTTCAGATGCCCAGCATGATCGACTGTATGGGTTTACAGAGCAAAGGAGCCCAGAGTTTCCAAGGGTCCTGAGCCCCCAGCCTCCCTGAGGCAGCCTCTCACATTGTTTTAAGGTCAGCAGAGCACAGTTAGAGGGCCTGGGCCCTCCATCACTTAGAGGGCCTGGGCCCATTGCACCCATCATGATGGTAACGGCACAGCTAGGTGCTTATTATGTCCTCCTGAGGGCCCCTAAGTAATTTAAGATGATAAAAGCCTTTGAAAGCCTAGCCCTTCATGGTTTCCTTGAAATCAGAGCTTCTAGGAAGCAATCTGTCCAAAATCTGGCTCTGGCAGACTGGAGAGACCATCTGGATTTCAGATATGTGGAGGAGCAGCAGATGCTCAGCACCACCTGCCACAAGTCCCTCACTTCTGGCTGCTCCCCTCATACAGTCAGTGGGGCCAATCTATCCCTCCAGGGGCTCCTAAACCTGCGCCCCTCTCATCCTTCACTGTGGGGTTGCCTCCAGCAAATAACCTCAAACTCAGATTGCAGCTGGATGCCCAAAGCGAGCCAGTGAACTGTCCTTTTTCCTCTCCTTAAGCCCTGAGGAAACAGATTTATGTGTGGAGGAGATGGCAGAGGTGGCTGTGAAACTGCACAGGTATTCAGCCCTATGAGACATCCCCAGATCCCTGGGAAGAGGGAATCACTGGCACTTTACTGAAGCCAGACCCTCCACCCTGAAGGGGCTGGACCACCCTGCGGGTCAACCTGCATTGGTCACTTCTTGGGGTGGGATAACAAGACAGGAAAATGACTTGTAACTACTTTCTTATGTTTGTACAGTGATTTTGTCTGATTTCGTGATTGTTAGTAGCAGTCCAAGCACAAGTTTTGGATTGGTTTGATTTCTTTCCTTTTAATTCAAAGCTGGATTTTTCTTGTCCATTGAGTGACACAGTAAATAATAGAGAGTGGCTACTCGTGCCTGTTATGTAAATATATTATATATATAAAATTATGTTATGTCACCATGAATATGGTGCCTGAATAGAAAATGCATTCTTCTAAGAAAATCTGAGGCCAACTTGCATCCAGATTATCATTTATGCATCTAGGTTTTAAGGTCTATTTTTTCCTGCAAATTACACAAATTTAGCATCTCTCACACAGCAAGAAGAGTTCAATTCTTCCTTTTCTTCTTGCTTGGCAGTACCACAAAGTGCAATTTATAAAATCAGTACTGCATATTAAATGTTGAAAGTGCCATATTGCAGTGAATACAAAACTTTGCAGTAGTATTTCTTTGCACTTTATTGCATGGCAGCGTGCTAGATGATAGAAATAAGTATTTAACAATGCTTTCACACCGTGCTACAGTTGTCATTTACAGATAAACAAGTGTTGGACTATGGGCTATGAAGTGGGTTTCAAGGCTGTTTTAAGCCTGCTTTCTTACAACCACGCCCATTTAAGAAGTAATATTATTAGGAAGTTTAGCTAAGCCAGGCAGAGAGATAGCAATGCAGTTGGCTTTTAATTTGGAA